GCCGAGCCACCTTGGGGTGGCTCGGCCATGAGCCGAGCCACCCCAAGGTGGCTAGGCACAGTGTCGGCCACCCCGAGGTGGCCGACAGTGGCCCGAGGTGGCCGACAGTGGCCAGAGGTGGCCGACAATTCTCTTTTTGCAGCCACTGTCCTGAGAGCCTATAAATAGGCCTAGAGATGTTCATTTTCGGAGGTCGAACTTTCAAGAGCCGAAACTCTGCCGGATTGAAGAGTGAACTCGGAGCTTTGAAGACCAGAAGACTTGCACATTCGGATCTGATCCTCGGCGACCATCCACGTCAGAAAAGGCAGGATCTCGAGAGGAAGAAAGAACAGATCTGAGATCTACACGAGACTACACTCCAGATCTAAGCTTGGTCTTAGATCTCGAGATCTGAGCGATTATTCCCTTGGTGGATTAATCCCTCCCGGCTATTATTCCCTTCGTGGAATAATACCCGCATAATCGTGTAGATCCGACCGGATCTAGATCGCGCGGTGGTCCACGGATTAACCCCGGCGTTGGCAAAGAACCCACACAAGCAAGCAACCGCAAAACAGGAGCTTGCGATTTGTTCACAAGAGGAAAGTTGTAATTTTTATTTTTTTTTCTTTGATTTAGTTGTAACCGGATCTATAAAAGACCGGATCTTTGTAACCCAAGATGACAATCATATCAATGAAAAAGAAAACAGTTTTCCACGCGAACAATCTGGCGACCACAGTGGGAGCCACCGATCTCGCCAACGAGATCGATGCGTCGCAGCCGCGGATTGCAATCCCGGTCGTGGAGGAGGTCGAGTACGAGTTCGACCAAGCCAAGTTCGAGGAGTACGTGTCCTCGTCCGGCTCTATCTCCCCCCGCAAGTCCAAGAAGTTCTCCTCCGGGAGAAAAGCATGTCAGATCTCCCATCTGGCACGCAAGTTGGTTCGAGCTTGTGTCGTAGAGCTTGTCAGATCTCCCATCTGAAGACAGAAGTCACCGGGTAAAGAAGCATGTCGTAGAGCTTCTTTACCCGGTGTGGGACTCGCAATCACTCCCATCTCCGCTCTTTCCGCCTTCTTCCTCTTAAGGAATCGCTCAGCTTGCTCTCCCCGGAGTTTCAAGTCCTTCCATGTATTGGATGGTGCCGTCCCCATTGCTTCTAGCACGTCCAACGCGAGGTTGTTGTGGCAGGTTTGGAGGATGAATTCCTCGGTGATCGGGTCCCGGCAGTTCATCGATCGACTAACTCTCCGTCGTTCTGCTTCTCATCGAGCAACGATCCGATAGATATCTCGGTGTCGTCGTCGAAGAAGTTGGCCAGGAACTTGGTCTCCATGTCATCCCAGCTGTTTACACTGCCTGGCTTGAGGCGGCGATACCAATCGAAGGCGGCTCCGCGAAGAGTGCCGACGAATGACCGCACCATCAGAGGCTCATTACCAGAGATCACCCCCAAATGCGATTTGAAGTAAATCAAAGTGCCGACGAATGACCGCACCATCAGAGGCTCATTACCAGAGACCACCGTCCTAACCTCATTGTCAGTGTCGACATACTTCAAACACTGATGGAGAGTAGAGGGAATTATCACGTTACTATGGATCCAAGGCCGACCCAATAGTAAGTTGTACGAAGTCTCCGCATCGATCACATAACACGTGACTTCTGTCTTCAGATCTCCCATCTGGCACTTCACCCGGATCTTACCCAAGGGTCTTGACCCACTAGTGTTGAATCCATAAATAACAGTGCCTGTTGACGCCAATTTGCCTTCTTTGGGCTTTCAAAGGTTACTCGCCTCAAAACCTCCCTTTTTGGGCGTGAATTTTCGGCGTGATCTTGGACTTCAATGCGTAAATTGGTGCGCGCAGCTGCCTT